ATGAATCCTCTTGATTTTTAAGGGAGTCTCAACCCTATCTTGGTGCACAACTAGGTCACTAATATGGAATGCTTATTCCAATTGGTTCTTGGTAGAAGGAGGATTAGGTAACATTTGCCACTCACATGCTGAGAGGTCTAGAAACCAGGTGTTGGGTTAGTGTTTCCACCCGTTTGACCACTTAGGATGTTCCAAAGGATTGGTAACACTTCAAAGTTGTATTTCTATATAAGTAATTTTCTAATAGTTTAAGAGATCAAAAAGAACTTGAGTTTCAGCAGCTTCCCCAAGGAAATATGTCAGTGGCCGAGTTCGCAAAAAAAATTGAATATATAGCGGCTTATTCCAACCAAGATGTATACGACCTAAATGAAAGATGGAAGATCAACCAGTTTAAGTTTGGTCTTTAAGGAGAGAATGTACATATCATTGCTCAACATCGATTCGACACTTACATCGAGTTATTGCAACAATATTATCTCACTTAAAATAAGGTTAAAGAAGATTCAGGCCAAAAGGGAGCAAGCAAGACAGAGTCATATGGATTATGATATAGCTAGCCATTAGTTGAAGCCTAAAGGATATCAGTCTAAAGGAAGACAAGCTCAGTGTGCGAGAGCAATGCAACCCCCTCAATGTAGCATATGCAATAAATTTCACTTTTGAGAGTGTAAGAGTGAATCATGGAAGTATTATCGCTGCCAGGAGATGGGTCATATTGCAAAGGATCGTCCAAATCAAGTAGCTCAATATGCACCATGAAGAGGAACATGAAGAGTTTATACCTTAGACACCAAGAAAGCCATGGGTAACAATAACCTGATAGCTGGTATGTGTCATATGCATAACCAACCTTTGTTTGTTGTGTTTGATTGTGAAGCCATGCACTCCTTTATTTCAACAAAGTGTATGCAAAGACTTGGATTAGAAGAAATCACTTTATTATATTCGATGGTAGTAACCACCATGACTAACAGTAGTGTAGAAACTCAGTGGGTCTGTGAGAATTGCCTGATATATATAAATGGTTGTGTTTTCAAGAGGATCAATGTGGTATTAGGAATGGACTAGGTCTCTACCAATTCGGTATACATTTTTTGTAAGGAGAAGGTTATATTCATACCCGCCGAATGGGCTACCCCAAATGACGTTTTGTCCATACTTTTGGAAGGTAGAATAAATATGATCAATTTTCTATTTAAGCAAGATAAAGCTTTTATCTTGATTCTTTCCATGGATTCGAATGAGAAAAAAATATCACGTTAATTCTATTAGGATGTGAATTCCCTATGTATTCCCGAATGATGTCACTTATTTACGTCCTTAAAGAGAAGTGGAATTCTCTATAGACCTAGTTCTTGGAACTGCCCCCATTTCTATTAGATCGTACTGTATGTCTCCAATTGAGTTAATAGAATTAAAGACTCAATTAAAGGAATGGCTAGTGAAGCATTTCATTCGCCCAAGTGTATCTCCTTGAGGTGCTCTTGTCTTGTTAGTAAAAAAGAAAGATGGTGGTATGCAACTATGCATTGATTTACGGCCAGGGTACCATCAGATTCGAGTAAAGAGTTTTGACACACCAAAGACCACATTTAGAACCCAATATGGTCACTACGAGTTCTTGGTAATGCCTTTTGGAGTAAAAAAAGCTTCAACTGCCTTTATGGATTACATGAATCGAGTGTTCCAATCATATTTAGATAAATTTGTTGTGATCTTCATAGATCACATCCTGATTTACTCTTACTCACAAACAAGTTCCCTTTAGTTGGAATTTGGAATATCAGCGGAGTTTTTGCAAGTTAAAAAAAAAGTTGACGTCCGCTCCTGTTCTAGTGATTCCAGATCCTAATAATAAATCTGAAGTCTTCTGTAATGCTTCGAAGAAAGGATTAAGATGTGTTCTAATACAGAATAGCCAAGTTGTAGCCTATGCTTCTTACTAATTAAAGACTCATAAGGAAAATTACCCAACACATGATCTTAAACTAGCTGCTACTATATTTGCACTCAAATTGTGACGACGTTACCTATATGGAGTACACTTTAAGATGATTAGCGATCATAAGAGTTTGAAGTATCTATTTGATCAGAAAGAGCTGAACATGCAACAATAGATATTGATCAAATTTATGAAGGACTATGACTTTAAATTGAAGTATCATTCAGTAAAAGTTAACAAGGTAGCAAATGCGCTGAGTAGGAAAAAGATACATACGACTGAGCTGATGATATTAGAGCATGATTTGTTGGAAATATTCTGGAACCTTGACCTACAATTCACATGGACTCAAGTCAGAGTTCTAATCAGTAATTTGAGTATCGCATGTGATACGAGGGAAATGATAAGGCAATGCCATTTGTTAGGTGTGGAATTATAAGTTAGAGTTGACCATCCAGATTTCACTCAATCCGTGGATGAAGTTATTCTGTTTAATTAAAGATTATGTGTGCCGAATGAATAAGACTTAAGAAGGTTAATCCTGGAGGAGGCTCATAAGAATGAATTTACCATTCACCCTGGTTCTTCTAAAATGTATCAAGATTTGGACAAGAACTTATAGGCTCAGCGTACCCCTTGTGGGAAACGTGGGAAAATACATGTCTTGATCAGAGAGAACTCAAAGTCAATAGACCAAACAATGTCTCCCTAGCCTTAGAGTTGAGGGGAAAACTCATTATGTACACCAAATACCTTGAGAATATAATGCTTTTCACATTACATAAGTTTGCTCTATCCATAACAAAAAATAGCCCTAAACAGAGTTTCTCACCATCATGAGCAAGCCCTAACCCATAGAAAATTACTAAGACCTATGGCCACCCCCTACCAACATAGGGGTGTCACACATTATATATTCTTTTACAAGTATAATTGTCATAATGGTGATTCAGATAGTGACAATGACATCAATGATGTCATGTAATAGTTAAAACAAAAAACATAAACTATAAAACCATTTTTTTTTTAAATTTATTGAAAACTAATTTAAAATTCTGAAATGTTTTTCAATAACAAGGGTGAGAGTGAAATGTAGATTCTTAAACCTCGAGAATTTAACTTACCACCCCATAAGTTGCACTTGACAACCCCCCCTAAAAAAAAGTATCAAAAATACCATAATAACCTTGTTCAAAGTTTTTACTAAAATTTTTGAAATCTCTCAAGTGATATCGGAAATTTCAAGCACATATGTGAAATCCTTCAAAAAGTGAGATTCTTATCGGAAATTTTGAAATTTCTAGAAGATTTTACCAAAAATTTTGAAATTTCCGAAATATTTTACCAACAATTTTGAAATTTCTAAAAGATTTTAATAGCAATTTTGAAATTTTCGAAAGATTTTATCAAAAATTTTGAAATTTCGTTTATGTCATCAACAATTTTGAAAATTTCAAAATTAATTATAATTTATTAGACATTTCAAAAAAAACTACCATAAATTTCACATATATTAAAAATTTCAACATCATACCAAAAAATTTAGTTGGGAAAAATTGTTTTTTTTTTTTTGGCAAGGAATACTTTTGGTATTGAGAAAATATAAGGCTTTCAGATTTAATTTAGATTTAATTTTGTGGTGGTGGTAAGTTAAATGCTCTTAGACTTCGTAGCAAGGCCCAAAAGCCCATAAAAATCTGGTGGCTAGAACGCTACAATCGTTAATCCGATTGGGTCCCCAAACACCTCCCTCTTGACTCTTATTCAATCAGCAGCCTCTTTCTCTCTCTGCTGCTTCTTCTCCATTCGATTCGATCCTCACTTCCCAATCGCGCTTCCATTTCGTAAGTCTCTCTCTCTCTCTAAAATCTCCACTTATCACTTTGACTTGGATCTATTCCACTCTTTTGAGCTCTAAAATTTTTATTTCCCATCTTCGTTTACCTAATTCCAGTTTCAATTTCGTATTATTTCACTTTTTGCCCTAATTTTGCTGCGGTTGAAATTATTTTGTACTTTTCATTGAATTAAATTCGAAATCTTTTTATGTAGCGGGGTTGTTGTTTATTGTGAGTAAATTAGTGTATTTGTAAAGGCAGTTTTGAATTATGCGAATAATTAGGGTTTTGGTTTTTGTTTTGTTTAATTCGTTTTTTTTTTTTTTTTTGCATTGAGGAAATTTTGTTTAAGATTTGGAGTGGACTTGATGAGTATGTTTTATTTTGAAGTTTTAGATCCGAGAGTGTGCTCCTCTCAAGGTCTCGAGTTTGAACTCTGTTAGATGCTAACAATTTCTGTGTTGGGCAAGTTCATACAGAGCTTTGCCCTCTGCAAGTGGACGGTGGGGTTGGTCCACCTTGAATTAGTCATTAGTCAGTCGCAAGACCGGAGACCAAGCTATAAAAAAAAATAGATCTTTACATGATTATTTGATATGTGTTGATTTAAATTAATTAGGTGATAATGATATCCAATGCTTTGAACCCTGGCGCGGAGATCAAGTATAGGTGTGACATAGATATATGGATACTAATTCTTTTTTTTTAAATAAAGGATACAATAAAGCCTAGATAGTGAAAAAAATTATATACATATGTAAAATGTTTGTAAATAAAAAGACAATGATCATTTTTATGTAACTGTAATGATCTTAATTTACAGAAAAGAATTGTTGTAATTAAAACTAGTTTGAAACAAAAATAAAATAAAATAAGGGAAGGATTTTGAACTTGTAAAGGTTATAGGACTAAACTGTAATTAAAAGGATAATATAAGGGATTAAAAGTGTATTTTAGTCTAATAGTTTGATACACTATTTGATGTTGCCGTGCTTGAGGATCTAAAAAGCTCTTGGATGAGAGGTGTCGATGCTGAGCTTCTAATGATTTCAGTTGTTGTATGGGCTGATAGAAGTCATCTCTTATTGTTTGGTGCTGTCTTTATCATTGTCCTGATGTAGTATTTATTTCGTGATCTTTATCTATGATATTGTGCCAGATGTATTTTTGTACTTGTCTTTAATCTTTTTTATATGAACAATCCAGTCTGAATTGAGATGGCTGGAGGTGTTATTCAACAATTGTTGAGGAGGAAACTCCAATCTCATTCTCGGGTAAGCACTTGATCCTCTCTTGATAATTTTATACTTGTGAGTGTTTATGTTTTTGACCTTTTCTTATAGGACTAGAATCAAGACCCGTAGGCTAGACTTTGTGGGATGGGGGAATTAATTTTTTTTTTATGCATATGCGAGGGAAACCGAAAGTTGTCTTTACACGAATATGTCACAATACTTTTGAAACATATATGCTATTTCATCAAGTCATTACCGCTAATTTTGCTAGAGTTTCTAGGTTCCCCTCATCTAACAATCATATATTTAATAAACTCCCTTGCATTACTAATTCATTTTTGTGCATGAGAACTGAGAAGTATTTAAACACGCAAAAGTTTAGTTGACACTAATATGTTTGTGGTAGTTGAGAGTAGTCTTACTAATTGAGCCTTTAACAATAGACAATAAAAGATAAATTCAAAAAATTACATAAAATTCTTGCAAATGCCCAAAAGGGGTATTCAATACCAACAATGATCAAGCTTAGTTCTGTTAAGTGTAACTGGTTGGCTATGTAAATAATCATTTGATGCCATTAGGTTCTATCATATAATGGGATTGTTAGTTCTATGAGAAAAGTAACACTGTTTTTGCTATATGTATATAATTCCCTTGGTTGTCCTACTTGGCATACACCACTCTTTTTCTTTGGCATGTGGCTGTCTTGTTCTAATTTACTCTCAAATGCTCCTTATCAAGGATGTAATTCTCAGTCCACATCACTTGATGCAGTAGCAATACCTTCCTATTTGTAAATAGATATAATATTTGTTTCTCCTCCACTAATCTATTTTTTCCTTAGACCTCATGATCTTAGTCAACAACTCTTAATATAAAACAAGAGTAATTGTTGTAAGTTTGTAACCAACTTATATATCTAGTAAATGCAAATCTCTGACTTCCAGTTATGCTCGAACTTCTCATCAATCATCATTTTGGGTAACTTTAGACGGGTTTATTTATGGTAACCCTAGCTTTAGTTTAGCTCTTCCCTCTTAGGACTACTGAGTTCTTGGCTCCAATTCTAATTAATGGGTGCCATCTTTCAATTCATTCATTACAGGCTTATGTCATTGCTTGTCATATTGAAACAAGTATTCTGGACTGTTACGGTAGAAATACTTGATTGTTCATGCATTGATTTTGACGATTTTATAACAGTTTGTGTCCTTCAGAAGTTGCTGATCATGTCTTTTTCTAATCACTGCTGCATAATTGTTGCAGAGTTCTTCTGGCTCTACTAGCAGCAGTTCCTTAAGAGGCCTTGCTTTAATAGGAGCTGGTGTCTCAGGTCTTTTGGGTTTTGCAACAACAGCATCTGCTGATGAAGCTGAGCATGGCCTCGCATCTCCACACTATCCATGGCCTCACGAGGGCATCCTCAGTTCATATGATCATGCTTCGTAAGTTTGACCTGAGTTTTCCTTTTTTTTTTAATACAATTTCCTTTTATATTCCTTTCTATATTTTTGGCTCAACAATATCATTTGCTAATACATACATACACTCAAAGTAGTCCCTGTTGCATTAAATGCGTGATAATAAGTAGTTGTCAAAGTCAACTATAGACACTTTTAATTCATTTTCATTTTGTCATTATGTCCTAGTTTTAATTTTTCTCAGCCTTGGAAAATTTAATCTTCCTCTCTTGCTTTGAAAATTTATTTTTTGAGGTGACATGATGTAACATAGTTTCAATCTTATGCATTAAATGCTAGAATGTGATTTTCTGAAAGAAATAGTTGCACATTTATAGATCCTACGATAGAATTCTCTTCTTTTAGGCCTTTTTTTCTTCCTGAGCCAGTATTTATAATATGGTGCTTTTTTTGTTTGCTCTATACGTCCATATATTTAATCAGAATTTCACATGAACATTAAACTAATTATGATCTCGACACGTTTAACTGATTTTTTATGAGCAGGATTCGTCGTGGTCATCAAGTTTATACGCAAGTCTGTGCTTCCTGCCATTCCATGTCTTTGATATCATACCGTGATTTGGTTGGTGTGGCTTACACAGAAGAAGAGGTAAAGGCCATGGCTGCTGAGATTGAGGTGGAAGATGGCCCTAATGATGAGGGTGAGATGTTTTCACGCCCTGGTAAACTCAGTGACCGCTTTCCTCAGCCATATGCAAATGAATCAGCTGCTAGGTTTGCTAATGGAGGGGCCTATCCTCCAGATCTAAGTCTTATTACCAAAGTAATGTCAGTTGCCTGCTAGTAACTTCCTTAGGTTTTCTGTTGTATGCATTAAGAAAAATATCTCTGCCCTTTGCAATTTCAGGCTCGTCACAATGGTCAGAACTATGTGTTTGCCCTCCTAACCGGTTATCGTGACCCCCCTGCTGGCGTTTCGGTAGATTCTTCAAACCTTTTCTTTAAACTAAATAGTCTCATTATAGTAACTTCAAACCTTTTCTTTAAACCTAATATCCGTAGTTGTCAAGTGGAAATTGCTAGCTCACCTGATTAGTGGTTTGGAAACAAAAAATTGTGAAATATGTTTACTTTGAATATCCATTTTCCTCGGGGAAACAGTGTTCTAACACTATTTCACAAGTGGTTATAAATTTTTTCTTCCAATTTTCTTTTTTATGCACACGAAGGAGTAAAATATGTACACCTGGTGAGTCAACAATAGCTTTTTGACACCTACATGATTTTCTTTCAATATAATTTTTTAATGAAATTTCATGTTTGCCATTTCTTGGTGAAACGGTATTTGAGCACAACATTAACGATTCTTTAAACTTATACATGACTTTGACTTTCAGTTGTCATTCATCATTTATGCATGTATAAGGATATTAGCGATAAGTGATGAACTTCATTATACCTTTTCAATTTCTTATTCTTGTTCCCGTGTGGCAGTACTTTTCATGAACTTTTGTTTATGGTTGTTATTTTTTAAATAATAATGTAGATCAGAGAGGGATTGCATTACAATCCTTATTTTCCGGGTGGAGCCATTGCCATGCCTAAGATGCTTAATGATGGTGCTGTTGAATATGAAGATGGTACCCCTGCTACAGAAGCTCAGGTCATTTTCTTTGTTGAGAATTTCATTCAATAAATCGTATTATATTGATTATTATTTTATCAACTTGGAAAGAATGAAGCAACATTTTTGTACTTTCGTTTCTTGTTACAGATGGGGAAAGATGTCGTGTCATTTTTGTCTTGGGCTGCAGAACCTGAGATGGAAGAGAGAAAACTGGTTTGTTTCCTTTATTATCATTCTTTATAAGATGAAATGAAATAAAGATGTATGGTTTTTTAACACATTGCTACTACTTGCAGATGGGATTTAAATGGATATTTGTACTTTCATTGGCATTACTTCAAGCTGCATATTATCGCCGTCTTCGATGGTCTGTTCTCAAGTCCCGCAAGTTGGTTCTTGATGTTGTCAACTAGCTGCCTTCAAGCTTCGTTTTTATTTATGAAAAGGATTATATTACTGGCAATAATTTTGCCAATTCTGATCATGTCAAATTCGTTGGAGTTACACAAAATCATGTCTTGTTTTTTGTTTGAAGTAGAAATAAAGCTGAAACCCACCCCCTTCTCAAACGTGTGTATTTCTTACCTTCTTGAGGCACCCCTCTTACACTTGTTTAATCTGGAATTTTAGATAATTGTTAAGTGTTTGGGGTTTATTTTTGGTTATATTCAGTAAAGAAAAAAAGAAAGTGAAAAGGGAGTGTCATAATGTTCTTGTTGGAAATTGGAAACAAAGTTCCCTTTTAATTCATTTTTATTCTTAATTTTTAAGCAGATATTATTCTTAATGTTTCACGTTACTGCCGATGCTGTATTACTTCTGGCAGCTTGCCTCAAATGGATGTCTTTATCTTCCAGATGATTTTGCTGTGCTCTTTGATTCTTTTCTTCTCCACAAAGAGATGACTCGTGCTTATGGACAATCTCTTGTTTTTTCCAAAATATTCCCAACTAAATAAGATCCTATATGATGTTTTCTATCACTACTCATTTACTCTTTTTATCTCACTATTAGAGTCATCTACGTTTTCTCCACATGTTCAAAAGTAATAAAGAATGTATATATTATTAATTTAACAAATTACATTATATTTATTATTGGATAATTATATGTTTACTATGTAAGCAATATAATGCTTGAGGTAAGTTTTTTTTTTTTTGTGTGTTAAGCCTTCGATTTTCAGAGGAAGGGGACATAGTAATTTGGAAATGGGCCGGAAGGTGATTAATTGTCATTTAGTTTTTTTTAATGTTTTTCTTTGAACAATTCTTTTTTTTTTTTTTAAATTTATTATATTTGATTTGATGTTTGAGGTTTCTTCTTGTAAGAGTTTTATACTTTAAGTACTTTATTCTAACCCAACCATTTTAGACTTGTTTGAGTTTATTTTTATAAGGGATGCGTGCTTAATGACATTTTGTCCTGCAGTTAAAAATATCACACGAAAAATCTGATAGTTGAAGTTTAAAATGCATTATGAATGAAAAAAATTCAAGTAGATCAGCATAAAAGTTCGGTATCATTTTTTATTGGTTTTTATAAAAAAAACTGGTGCATGAAATAATAATATATCGTTTTCTAGAATAATACCATGGATTACTGTTTTTTTCTTTCAAATGGTGAAAAATCTAATAGTGTTAAATCATCTATTTTTTTTGTTTGAAAAGATAGTACATTTATCATATATTTACCAAGACTAAAATATTTGATAGTTTGAATTTTTACAGTTGAAACTTTGTCGATAGTTTTGTAGGATTGTGACTGCACTGATAGTTATGTGTAGTCTAAATGAATCTAAACTTGTATAAATAAGGATCATATGTTGTTAAAAAATATTTTAGAATTTTTCAATATTCATATATGGAAATTGTGTACTTCAACAATATGTAACCACCTTCTATTGATTTTCGGCTCCTTGAGGACACCACTCTCATTGTTTTGAGATTTAAATCGGATAATCTGTTGACCCACACCGATAACAGAAAGGTGGTTAAGATCTAGTTTCGTGCATCATCAATTGAAAATGAAGGAAATGTGAAATACAATAACTTTGAGCAGAAGACAAATGAAGATTTGAAAGTTATGTAGAACACATATCATCACAGGCCAACGAAAGGATCAATCGAGTTTGATGCGACAATTATTAGATCTATCGACGATATAATCAAGATGTTGAAACATCCAAAATTATCTAGTAGTATTTAAGTTTTATTATTTATCAATGTTTTGTTAAGTTATGTTATTGTTTGTATTAAGTTATGTTAATCCCGCAAAAACACAATGTTAAATGTTTATATAATAAACTGTAAAGTTAAAGTGTCAGTAAAATATATAAATAATACAAAAACGATTAAAATTACACTTCCCTCCACATGTTATGTGTGCTATGTGCGACGCCAAAGTATAAATTTTACTATCTAGATTTATCAAACCCATGAGTTTCTTTGTAAGTACAGTAATCATCTGTAGACGTTGCTGACCGGCCACATCAGGTGGAGGCGGTGGAACATCATCAAAAGGTCCAACAACATCGAAAAATCAAACATCATCTGCATGCTGAACAGTGGAATGACATGAGAGTGTGATACAATAAAGTATCATTCTAATTAACCATGCACATACTACTCAGGGAATTGAATCTCAACTGCATGATCTGTAATATCATGAGCACAACTGATAATGTTAGACACAAACCATATATCAATACCTTCAGTTGGCATATCAGGGACTGGGCGAGGGATGTCCCAAACCTATCCAAACTGGTGCATACACCTTTCAAGTAATTATCTTGCCATTGAGCTTCCTCTTTGCAGATAATCAAAAAAGGGAAGTGTCATCAAACTCCTAATGCACTATATAGTTGTGTTCTATGTCATGTTATGTACTTTTCAATTTTCCCTGCTTTTTGGTTATACCACTGGAGAAGAAGTATAATATCAGGGATGATATACTCTCCATATATGTGAGGGGGATATAATCACTCCAATATTTTTCATCTTAACTTCTCTGTTTTTGCCGCCTTTTTGAGAGATACATTGTAATCACCAAAAAGAGAGATAACATGGTTCTATATGATGTGTATGTACAATTGATTTTGATGACGACAAAGAAACTAAAGCAAAATAGTGAACATAATCAAGCAAAGAAAGAAATATGAATCAAATAAAAAAGCTAAAGAACTTCACAAAGATACAAAACCAACTGCAAAAATCTTGCCAGTGATCCTTGATTTGTCTGTTTATTTTTTTATAGGATCATATATATCATTAAGTATATGATCTCAAAGCTCTGAAGTAGTATCACACACACATACACATACACACACGTAAGCACGCGCATACACACACACACACACACGCACACACACACGCACACACACTCATACACACACACACACACACACACTTATACACACACATACAAACTCTCTCTCTCTCTCTCTCTCTCTCTCTCTCTCTCTCTCACACACACACACACACACACATACAAACACAAACTTATAACCTATTTTAAAAACTTTTCGTGTTTCATAAAACTTCTTAATTTGGGCCAAACTCTTACAAAAACTAGCTAAATCGAGTACCAAGTTTGGTTAATCAATTATGAAGTGAAAATATGCCTTATAATCATTTATGATTCTTGTCTAATCATTTATGGGGAGAACTTGTTCAATAATCAATTAAGAAATGGTTTAGATCCATCAAAACCTTATCTATTTTCGTAGGACATAATCGATTATGGCCACAACCTAATTGATTATGGTGCAGGTCCAACCTAATATCGTTTCTTTTCATTGCCAAATTCTTTTATGTAAAAAAGTGGACGTGTATTCATTTCAAAACACATATGAAATATGAAATGACCTCTCTTCTACCCATTCACACGCTCTTATAAATTTCCATATTCACTTAAATACTATCTTTAATGCAAAGATAAAAAAAATTTAAGTAGAGTTATACTGTGTAACCGCTACATATTTGTAACTATAATAAGATATGGTTGTTTTCTTGACTCTAGTATTTTAATATAAATGTTGTAAGATGAACCCAAGATAAAAGTTTGGTGTAACAAGGTTGTACATTGAGGCTCTATGATAGTGGAGATATCAAGGGTCACTCCTTGGGGACTAGACGTAGGCCTCATGGTTTTTGATAGTAGCACAACCAAGTCTGGTGCATTCTTCTCTGATCTCTTGTCTATTTACTTTTCTAAGTTTATTTTCTTGTACCTTTTTCATCTCTTTCCCATCTTCTTAAAATCAACCTGAAAATAATTTTGTTTTTTAAAGTTGCGAAATTTTATACATATTATAATTCACCCTCTCTTATGTTTGATCACTTGATAAGCTAGTGACTTTCAAGTTTAACTCTTGTTGTGAGACTTATGGCCTTAAGAGAAAGAATGAATTTATTCCGTACCTTTAATAGAAGACTTTCCATGAACACACCTTCATGATTCAATGGTGAAAAGTATATTCTATGAAAAACAAGGATGGCATTTTTCTTAAAAATTTTGGTTTTAAAGTGTGGGATCTATTTAAAATTAGTTCATTTATTCATACTCATTTTATAAGTAATGAAGTGGTGAATAAACTTAGAGCTATCTGAATCGTAGAAAAAAAATTAAAGGTGTAACAAAGTTTGAAAGCCAAATACTTAATAACTATTGCCTTTAGTACATGAGAGTACTATGATGTATCAAGTTGTTCCTGTAACTGGTAAAGCTCCTCACATATCTAATTTCAATATCATGTCGATCAGGTAAATTTTAAATTTTATTCTTGAAAAGAAAAAAGTTCTCTCCTTTGCAGGAATAGTAACACTAGTTATATATGTAGTTTCTATTTATCCCATGATGTCTATGTCCAATCCATTTATGGATCTAAGAAATATGTTTTGAACAAGAAATATGTTTATTTTGTAATGGGATGAGGTTTGGTACAACTCATCTAGAGACTTATGCAATTAGATTGAAAATTAAAAACATGTCATTCATGAAGCCGATTCACGTGGTTGTTTTACCTATTATGTGATGTGATCATTATAAGTCCTTGATTATTGTGGAAACTTGTTCAAGTCAAATTAGACAATTTTTTTATTTTTGATGTTATGGGAGTTAATTCCCCTTGTTTGATTTATATTTAGTTCTTATTTTAGTCCTTTTTTTACAGGAAAAGACTTAATTCATTTCATTAATAGTACAATCTTGAATATATGTCGGTAAATCGATAAAATTATATAAACTATCAAGATATGGGCCTACCCACACCAAAGCATGAGCAAGCTCATTATCTTGTCTCCTAACAAACTTAATATGATAGTTCCTAAAGTAAATGGCGAATAAACAATTACATCCATTAATAATAACACTGAAATTTTAAAAGTTTGATTGCTGCTTATTCACACTTTCCACT